TCGTTAAAAGGCGTAAGATGACAAAAACAAGATCTTGAAGAATCTATCTATATACTACTAAAACTCTGAGATTGTTAATATTTTTGTGTTATAATTTGTAGTCATTCTAGAATGAAAAAAGCATAATATAAATTTATTTCCTACTTTTTTATGGTGGTTACGAGGTCGGTCAAATTGATAAATCCCATAGAGTTAGGGTAGAGAAAATAACAGAAAAAGTATAAAGTTTTACTGAAAACAAACATTTGAAGTGTATTTAGGATGTTTTAGAGATTACACAAATAATAGTTGAGATTTTTGGGACAAACAATAGTTTTTCAGTTATAACCTGAAAATCACTTTGCACTTGAACTGGAAATGAAACAGACTCGATATTTTCACAAACAAACCTGTACTAAAAATACTTCATTAAAAAATCAGATTTTTTGTGTACGAAAGACTTGTAATCTTGTAGTCTACCAAATTTTGTGAAGATACACTTATTGCATTAAAGGTTATAGTATAAATACTTAACTCGTGTATGTCATACCAAGCCCATCATGAAAGGGTTAATGGCATGGGAAAGCAAAGTAATCTATGTGTCCCAGGCAACAGTATGTAACATCATCAAGATATATCCCTGTCTGGAAAAGCAAAACAAGTCATATGTACACATGTTGCTTCCTTGATATATCAGTTCGACTGGAGAATGAAATTGGTATTCATGCTACTCCATAAAAAGTCATGCTGATGTTGCCAGACATAGCACCAATGTGCTTCTGTGAGATCAGACTGTTAAAACATCTGCTGGAAAACCATCTTTCTTGTACATTGATTATGGAAAGCTGCAGGGAGAAGGGGTGTGCTTTAATATGATAACCTTGTAACTGAGCTTTTGCATGGTTGTCATATAGCACATGACTGAACACAGTGATAGGGATAGTAAATATTTGTTAAGGCTTCATATCTATTGTTTTCTGATGCCAGAACTAATGATTTAACATGGTGACTATTGTAAGCTAAGTATGAATATTACATTTATGTATCTTATATATATTTCTTTCTTTTTATCACACACATGCTAATGTTTCTTATTATTTATACATAACTTTATCTGTACCATATACATGTTTTCTTGTTGATTTTTTCCTAATAAGTCACATTGCCTGTGAAAACTTTCTGTTATTTGAATTTCTGAGAATGTGTTCTAAAATGTGTCTGTTGTTTAGAGTCTGTTTTTTTTTCTTTCTAAACTTGGAGGTATTTAGTAATTTAAGTTATGAGATGTAAAGAATCCAGTTGATACTCAAACTGTCCTTGTTGGTTTATTGACTTATGAACGAAACACTAAACTTGAGAATTTGATATTTTCGTCAGCAGTTACTCATATTAGTAATTTCTTTTCTTTGCAATTTTTTAGAGATGCATCAAGCATAGAATTCACTGAATTGGTTTTTAATTTTTCAGTTCATCAAAAAAAAAAAATTAATATAGTAATATCTCACTTATCTAAATCAAAACCAAACATTTGGTCATATAGAAGTTTGGTAGTGATTAGTAAAAAATACTGTAAATAAGTCACATTCATTCTCTTATTAAAGGATGGGCAAGTAATAAAAACACCAACAGTGTATTAAATTACAATGCAAATTTCTTTCTCATACATTTTTTTTTCATATATCATGTTTGTCATTGTATAGTTGGTTGTAAAACATGATTAGATCATATTTTTTATAGATCTAAAAGTTTAAATTTTCCAAATTTAACTTATAACTCAGTAAAAATGGGTTTCGGTTGTCTGTAGTGTGGATTGGTGTTATATAAAATTGAGGTTTGCCTCTTTACCATATTAATAGTCAAGCAAAATAAAGCTGACTTCATTTTCTGTAAGTGACAACTTGGAAGCAGATAGTTTTATTTTTATATATTCTTTTTTACTTTTACTCTTATGTTTTTAAAATTACTATATTTTAAATTGGTATTTTTCAGCTTATAATAAATAATCATAGTATGTGATCATAATGAAAAAGGCAAAGTGCACTACAATGGCAAGAAAAAACAAAAACGCAGTGTTCGGAATTAATCACAGTAAATAAGCAAATAGATTTATACATTTGTTTGAAAAAATGCATAAGTGTTGAAGAATAAGACACTACCCAAGATTTACAACAAGGACACGGAATATTGTAGTATTTTTACTGGCTTCAAAATCAAATTTAATTACTTCATCTTTGTTGTTAAACATAAGAATTAGATTGATAAACTGAAAATGGAACCAACAAAATAATAGTCAAATTTCACAATTTTTTTAAATTCTTTGACTCAGTTCTAGCATCAGACTGCATACTATTTGTTGATGACTTCAGTGTGTCTAAAGTGCCATCTAGTAATGGCAGAAAGTGCTATATATCCAACCCATCAACTATGACATCAAGTTTACAGTCTTTGAATACATTAAGTACTGGAGGTAGTAATCGTAACATTAGTGAAGAAAAAAGCAAGCCCCGCAGCCTTCTTCCACGAAGAATGAAGTTTCTGATTAGAGAAGAGTCAAAAAGTGGGTAAGAAACATCTGAGTTATCCTTTCAAACCCTTTCTACAGTTACTATCAAATTGAGCTGTCTTTAGTAACCCCACATTTTATATATTTATATGTATGTATGTGTGTGTGTGTATATATATATATTTATATATCATCAGTTGAAATTTGCTCATGCAACTTCATTTTACATAATTATATGTACACTGAATTGAATATCTTGTATATTCATTTGGATCTTTTAATACTTCTGAATATCTGGCCTCAAATAGTTTTGTTCTTTCTTAGAAATAGAACATAAGCATAACAGGAAGCTAAAAAAGATGTAACAAAAGTTACATTATTTTAGAGGTACAAAACAAAGTATTATTTCAAATAGCTTTTTGATAATACTTTGTTTTGTACCTCTAAAATAATGTAGTCATGTTTCTCTGTATTTATTCCTATCTTCAAGTAGTTGCACATTTCACTGTTCATGCCATTTTTTACTTAAATATTCATTTTTGTACTAAGAAATATTTTACTGATCAGTTTAAATTTAAAAAAATGATTTATTTATTGAGAAGACTTCTGTGTAGTTATCCTCAAAAGATTTTTGCTGCATCAATGAGTACAAAATCAGTTCTTTTCCATTGTAAGGAACTGTTACTTTTCTTATGTGTTGATTATACAGTTAAAAAATCTTGTGATACATATAAAAAGGTGGTGTAGCTAAAGTAATTGATTTTCTGTAATTCTAGCTCAGAAGAAGCTATTAGCTTGAATGACTGTCTTCAGCTGGCTTTCCATCCTGCTTATCGACATCACTTACTTTTATTATACCCTAAAGAAGTGTTAATATTGGACTTGGAAATAAATCAGGTGATTGTCTCCATTCATAGTAATGTAGTCTTAACATTCTTATATAATATTAACATGTGCATATAACTATGAATTCGTTGAGACTAGTTAAGTTGAGATATTTTTATTGGTAGGGAAGTTTTTGTGTGGTTACATTTTTTTAAAGTGCATTATAACTATTTCTCATTACTACATCAACAGTCTGTTAGTTGATGTATGTTTTGGAATAATCTGTTGTGTCACAGGTTGGTTTGTCTTGAAAACTAAATTTCAATAAAAGTTATCTAGTTATTAAAAATAATTAGAAATTTGCTCACAGGACCATTGTATAAGGTTTTGTTTATGTTACACAGTAAACATAATTTACTCAGTATTTCATGCAGGTTAACTAGAGGTGTGTGTATATGATATGACGTTTTTATACAAGGATTAATGTAGTGACAAAAATTAGGTAAATTGGAATAAGATGCATGTTTATCAGTATAAAACAGAAAGGCACAAAATAAATGTTTTATTCAGTCATGTTTTAAAGGATGCATCGGGGAGATGGGGTTGATTTTGTTTTTGCAATAATAACAGTGTTGTTATGTTTATTGAATTTGGAAATTAATAATCGTAAGTTTAATTCAGACTATAGGTATAATAGCAGTAGAAAGAAATGGAGCAGCAGTAACACAGATGTATCCCTGCTGGCAGAGGGAAGCTGTATTTTGTCTTCATGAAACAGGAAGTGTTAGCTTACGAGTACGTCACAAAGGAACATCACTTGCTTCTGTCTGTACACCTTCTGAAGGTAAAAATTGATATAGAACTAGTGTATTCTCTGAACAGAAATATTAATAGCACTTTGATACACACATATGTGGAAGACTTGCTGCTTTCCTATGATATGTTTTTCTTAAATGTAATTATGTCTTCCAAGCACTATTCTTATGTATTGTATGTTCTTACTGTGCTATTAAACTTATTTGAAAATGAGTCTAATTTATGGAAGAAAGCCTTGGTTCTGAAATGTCTTCAAGTTTTGAGAAAGTGTTTAAAAAAAGAGAGAAACAAGTATAACATACTTAACTGTATAAGAATGAAGTTGATCAATTTGATCAACCTTGGAATTATGAAACTATGCAAACTAAAACTCTGAATTTATTATGTGTATCTTTATAAAATTTGGCAAGCTTTCAATAAACCTTACAAGCCTGTTGTACACAAAAAAAATATTTGTATCTATAAATTTCTAAAACCTTTATTGTGTCTGTCTTAGTGAAAGGTGATTTTTGTAATAAAATTACTTCTTTTCATCTGAATAACCTCTAGCACCTCCTAAATGAGTACCAAAGTTGTTCTTTTTATAAAACATTATATTTTATATTATTAACCATTGCATAGTGACTCATAGAATGGCTCCAAGTTTTTTCTTAAAGTACAAATCTTTAGCTCATATCTCCATCATCTCTTGACTGATTTGAGATCTAATTATAGTTTGGACTTATGTGGTCAAACCCTTTCGATTGATACATTTGACCATGCCCAAGGTCTCATAGATTAAATTACTCTAATCCTGCCTAAAAGAATTTCAATTTGAGGCTAGACTAGTAGAGATCCATCCTGATGAGTAATAAAATCGATTTGGGTATACGCATGGCCCGTGTTTGGTGTTACTGGCTCACAAAAATATAGCTGACAAAAAGGAAAAAAAGGTCTTTTAGATTAATTTACTTTAATCCTGTCTAAAAGAATTTCATGTTCTGCAGCTATTGAGGATTCCCTCTTGTTTTCCAGAACTATTCAAACACTAACTGTAGAGACATTATCATTATACAATGAAATGAAGAATTGAAATATATGAAATAAAATGAATAATACTATTTTTTGCTCTGTAGTGACTGGAATTTTATCAGAAAGTTCCAAATTATCTATCTTAATATTTTGAACTGTTCATCTTTTTCAAATCTGTTTTTCTTTAATTTCATTCTTTTACTGCTGTACTTTGTACCACTGGAGTAGTAATTCTTGTGTCAAACACAAGATATCACAATGGGAGCTCATTATTTGTTTCCTGTAGTGCTAACATAAAAGCAAGTTTATAATTTTTGTTTTAGTTCCAATTGAAAAAATTTACATATGCATAAAAAGCAAGGATTTCTAGTACTCACTGCTTATTTGAGCTGTTTGCACTCAAGTAAAAGTATTTGACATTTCTAGTTGAGTCTTGCAAGTTTGGGTGTCTAAAAACAAATTCATATATCTTTCAAATATGCATTTTAGAACACACACAATTTATCAGGCACTAGTATAAAATCTCCCAAAACTACTATGGTTTTCTAAGTAATAAATAAATTAAAACATTTCTGTTAGCTGTTCATAGCAATAAAAACCATGATCACACAGCAAGACATTTCTATCAAGTGAGTACTCTGTGTGCCATATGCAAAAGGATGGTTATAGGCATGATATAGAGGAGAATCTGCTCTTTCTATTGCTTATATACATGTTCATCAGCCACGTAATGTTGATTAAAAACAATCTTAAAAGTCAGAGAGAGTAGTGAGGGGTTTATTATTGATATCACAGCAAATAAATAAGGTGGGAGGTTCAAATTCAGAAATGTACTTCTGCACAACAAAAAGCTGTTACCTCACACCACTTCTGTGAAGATCTTTGCACATGTCACAAACCTTGAATGAAGCTTTCATCCCTAAACATAATCATTGGACAGTAGCCCTCTACCAATATTTGGGTAACACATCCTCAACGTAAAGTAATCTCCTTGAGCACTAGCATTGGAAATAAGGCCTATTCTTCCCTCAGTAATGCTTTGTTCAGACATGTTTTTTTCTTAGAAACTAATGACATTTTAGTGCTTATTATTTTAAACTTTCAATTATCATTTGTAGTGTAATCTTTCTGTTCTTAATTTTCTTGATTATGAGACAGACAGATACCAAATTTTAAACATAATTTAAACATAATTTTGATTCAAATTATCTTTAATTGGATTTTTTCTTTTAATAAAATTTGTAATTTTGGGATACGTATCCTAATGTGTTAATAGTTCTCTGGCAGTACTATTTTCCATTGTTTTAACCCAGTGTATGGGTTTTGTTAATTTCTTTTCAGTTTCATCATTAGGGCAGTGACTTAGACCTATGCAGGCATTGACATACCAGGACAAAAATGAAAAATTTGTTTTGTGGATCATCTAGATTATGAATTCAAATTTCCACATTTTTTAATATTTCCCAAGTTTCCAACATTCCTCAACAGGAGTTATCCAGTACTGGAATGCTGTTTAAAGGTACTGGTAGGTAGTGATGTTATCACCATTGTGCACCAGTTGACAGGTTCCATTCTGATTTCATCACAAATCTTTGGATTATTTGATATTATCTTAGGGACTTGTCATCCACTTCCTTTCCCATCCTCCTTTATATCGGGTATCCATATCCTTTTCATTTTTGGAATTTTTGAATCAGGAATGCATATTTTGTGATTTATCATAGTCTTAGTGTTTTATGTGCTGTTCATTGTTATTTAACTCATACTGCCCCTTTACAGGACAATTGACGATGCCTTTTCTTGCTGTGGCATTCCTCTTCCTCTAGTAACTTATCTCATTCTACTTTGAATGGTTGGATTACACAACTCATCCATGTAGCTTATTCTTTTATAGGTTATGTTACTTTTCTTGTTTTTAATGTTTCCTCCCATAAAGTTTGTCATCTCACAGTTTCCCTTGTCTACAGCTGCCAATGTCTCCTCTATGATATCTTGCAGATGGGGATGTGAACGACCCCTGACATATTAGTGTCACATTAATTAGATCACATTGCCATTTCAACTGCATTGGGTTTTGCCTCCCTCCAGTTGCCATTCTAATACTATTCATAGAGGCTTTCTAAAAGTGAATTGCTTATTTTTCTCTCTTTCTTTATGATTCTTGTATCTAACATATTCAATTTATACATCTACATAACAGACAATGGGATCCACTAAGTGACTAGTGTTGCTTTTACAATGAATACCTCTCTACTCTCCTGAAATCTTCATTGGATGGTGGATAACAGAAAGTGTTAAGCACGTATATATATATATATTACCTTCCAGTCTATATTGC